AAAAAAAAAAACATTCAACAACTTAAAAATGACAACTTTAGCAAACTAGCAAATTGCAGAGCTTAGTAACAGAAACATCAAACATAAAATAATTTTACAACAAAAATCTTAGTTTAAGTGTTAACTTCAACAAAATTGCAAAAGTCTAAGTTAAACACTTAAACTTCAAAGTTCAGGCATTCATCAGTCTACAACATGTAAGCATTTCAGCAAGTAAGCACTCAACATGTAAACTGACTCAACAGTTCTACACTTTACAATTTACATTACAACGCAGTACATCCACTACTCTTCTTCCTGTTAATATCAAAACTTAAAACAGTATTAGGCAACATATTAAGTAACGAATATTAAATATTATGCTGTAGGGGGCTAGGGGCATTAGGCTAATAGGCTCATATTGCAATTTTCCATATCAAGTAAGGATGGGGTAAAAATTGCTTCGGATGTGTTATAATAGCACATGAGCAACATACCAACGCCATATCATTTATTCAGACAAAGGTGGAAGCATCATCATAGCCAGCCAATAAAACAAACACTAATAAATAATAATGCATTAGAACTGAATTAGTGAACACTGAAGTACTGAACAGAGATCAAGAGGGATTATTTCTATCATATGCATCAAAGACTCTTTGATATTGAACTGCAGTGTTGAACATAATGTAGGTGTTGGTCCACCTTGTAGGGACATCAAGTTGCAAAGCTGCTTTGGCTTCCACCCCAATGAGTTCAACAAGCTCTCTGAACTTCTTCAACTAACAAGTGAGTTCTTAACCCATCTCACTGCATCCCTCACCCTTTTCACTATGTCATCTGCAAACCTCAAGCAATCTTGAATCACTAAGTTTAAGATATGGGCTACCTCATGTGCATATATTGCACCCTAACAAAAGAAGAACCCCAAGATAACAACTTGCTTTTAAAAAAAACCCCAAAGCTGTATCATTAGAAGAAGCATTGTCCATTGTCACAGTGAACACATTTTTAATCCCCCACTTTAACAGTCAACTCTCTAAGGCTTTAATTTGACAATACACCCCCCCCCCCCTATGAGAAGAAACATGGATAAATGAAGTTTTTTTTTCTGAAGCTTCTACTGGTCATCAATAAAATGTGTAGTAATGCACATATAATTAATCATCTGGACAGAAGTCCATGTATCAGTGGTTAAACTGACCCTTTTGGTGCCCACCCTAAACAACTTCTTAAGATTCAACCTCTCATCTAGGAAAATTTGGTAGATATCCCTATAAATTGTCCACCTAGAAGGGATATGAAACCTAGGACAAGCTACAAGAATAAACTTCTTGAACCCTTGATCCTCAACAAACCTAAAAGGGAGCTCATCATCTATGATTATCATCTCACACAAGGCCCTCCTAATGACCTCTTGATTAAAGACCCATGTCCCCAAAACCCCCACAGGAGCCTTTATTCCAGAAGTTGAAACAGTATTGAATGTGAGAAGGGACTGCCTTGTATTATTTGAACGAGGATTTTTAAGGCAGCCCGACATATGATTTCTCAAAGATGATGTGCCATGTTTTTTAGACTCACATGCAAACATTTTCAAGCAGTAAAGACACTTGTCTTTAATCACTTTACCCTCAAAATCTATAATCTTTTCAAAGTGATCCCAGACTTTTGATCTAGACTCAACCTCCTTCATCTTTTTTCCAGGAACAACAAGAGTCACCTGAGGCTGCTGAGTAGGTATCTCAGTGCCTTGGGCTTGTACTCCTCCATGTCCCTCCTGAGTTGAGGGTTGAGGTCCAGAATAAGGGACATTGATGCTCTCAATCTAAAATGATGTGTATCAATTAAAGGTCCACCAAATCCAAGTAGGCAACAATCACATAAACATACATACAATTTTAAAAGAAATCAAGATTCAGACACCTGTTTGTGTCATAATTTATCAAGATTTCACAATTTCACAATTACATATTTACATGTAAGGGTCATACATCCATAAACATATATATTACATATTTACATTACAAAGAAATCCAGATTCAAGAACTGTATCCAGTTCATCATTATCTGGATTTCAGTTAAGGGCTTCCACCAATAAATGGAAATTTCAAGTGTGAAACTTGATAATTTCACATTCAAACCTTTTAACTTTTAAAGGGACATCACAATAGATCACATAATATCACAAAATCACACTACTTCCACCATTATATCAGAATATCAGAAAAACAGAATATATCAAACATATATATCACAATATTAACAGGTTCGATCGGATTTACACACAACCCTACACAAATATCATAATACAGTGAATAAATCACAAATATAAAACCAGGGTTTGCTATTAAAACAGCTTCCACCATAATAGATCACAATATATCACTATATCAGAACATATATTCAAAATATATCACATAAATCACAACTACAAAACTAGGGTTTGCGATTACAACAGCTTCCACCATAATAGATCACAATTCACAACATAACATAACATATTCATAATATAACACAAATATATCAACATGTAGTGAATAAAATCAACAAATCATAAATATAAAAACTAGGGTTTGTGCTTTACTTGGTTTCCCCTAAATTTTCCCCGGAGAACAAGGGCATCTACTCAATAATCACCACAAGAACTCAAGAAGGGCTTCCACCACCAACGGGCACCGGCCACCAGACAATCGGACAATCGAACATCGGAGAAGTCAGAGTCTTAGAGATTTCGAGATTCAGACTTGAGACTTCAAGAACACAGAAGAGAGACTAATCAAGTAATCAAACGATCGTCTATAGAGAAGAAGAGACAACATAGAGACTAGAGAGTAGAGAGAGGAGTAAAGAGAACTCAAAGAAGTCTCAGAGAGACAAAGAGTATAGAGAGGAGTAGAGAGACGTAGCGACTGCGCAAATGGAGGATATCAGCGTGTTAGGAACATTTGTAATTAGATTTTGATAATACCAAACTACTTAGGAATTTAGACTCCTCACTTTACTCTTGTTTGTTTTAAGTCTTTCTAGCAGAACGAATCATATATACGATGTTCATATGCAAGGAATAATTCATGCTCTAACCCGAATCAGTGCGCTGGAAGCCAGCGTCAAGATCAAGAGAAGAGAAGACTGAGAGATCTACATAGACCGAAACCTGGAATGGTCTATCTCTCAGACAACTTATTGACAAATGATAAAGAAAGATCATTTGATATCTGAAGAGAACGAATGATAAAGACAATCATTCGTTACTAGAGCTCGAGAACACGAGTCATGTTCTGACTCGATTGGACAAGCCAAACATGCTCTCAGTAACATAACTGTCCAAGTCCCAACGTGCTAGGTAAATCATCTTAGGCAAATGGTGTCCTAGGAATGAGATTTCAAATTTCAAGGAGCATTAAATGATTGGTACCTCTTTGGCAGTACTAAAAGACAAAAAGGTAGGTCACTTTTTAAAGCCAACGGCTACACAGTACAATCCACATTAATGACTCCTTACCCAGCGGACAATAACCACTGGTCAATAGGTTTTGAATTTTCATCTCCCTCCAACGGATGAATTTTTCTCACCTATAAATACCCATCTTCATCACTTGAAGAAGGTGCTGGTCATCACTCATTGCTAACAAAAAGCTTTCAAATTCCTCAATAGCTACAAGTTTATTGCGACCGGTGTGTTTGTGAAGATCATCTTTTAAAAGCTCTCAAGTTTTCAAGAATCTTCACACCCTCAAGAAATCTTGCACAAGTTCTATACGAAGATCAAGACTTCAAGTCAAGTTTTCAGTTGGAGAAAACAACAATCTTTTTCCAAACACCACACTCAACTCGGAGAAGTTGATAGAGGCAGAGTAAACTCGGAGGAGTTGAAAAACCTAATCAAGTTGCTGTCCGGCTTAGTGATCAAGGAAGCAAGCTTGGTTGAGTAGTTTGTACTAAGAAGTGATTAGTGCAAACGCCTTCATAAGTTGTGAAGAAAGAGTGAAGTAGGCTTATTAGTTAACAGCCGAACCACTATAAAAATCTCTCTCTACCTCTTATTTACATATTGCTATTTAACTGCTTGCATTGCATTTTCATCCAACCTAAACCACTTTGATCATAATCATAAGTGTGCAAAGAAAACTAAAAAGTCATAACAAACCTTTTCGCTGTGCATATTATCTCTGCGTTTCATAAACTCGTGATTTTTTTTTTTTAAATCGCTAAGTGAGTCTATTCACCCTCCCCCCTCTAGACTCACTCCTTTCGTTATCGGGACCAACACATTGTTCAACATACATATATACAATATACTTACCTTAAACGACATCGTGTAGTATATAGGTAACCCTAACCTTAAAAACTTCGGATATTCGTGCGGGTCGGATACAAAAAAACATACCATATCCAATATCACTTATCCGAAGTCGTATCGCCATGCGGATCGAATTTGGCTTCTCGGGTGCGGAGCGGGTCGGATGGCCTATTCTCGGATATCGGACCGGGTGGGTCTGGTGGGTTGGGTCGAGTTTGTACCGCCCTAATTATCACCAACTTTACTATGCAAATTTAAACACTAAAATATATAATTCTCATACTTTTTTAAGTTTGCACATTTAGTATTAACATTTTACATATTTAATGTTAAAATATTAAACTTGTAAAAATGTGAAAGTGCATTGCACTTATGGGGTTATAAATTGATTTATCTACAAATTTGGTAGATTGGGGAAATAGCCGGCGCCCAGTTAGAGAGTCCCCAACTACCACTACATGGCGCGTGGGGTGTTTACTTCAAATTGACTAAATTCCTACAATACTACCGACTTTTTGCAAATTAAGCATTAATTAAAGAAAAATCATCATTTTAACGCCATCGAAAGTCTTCTGCTCCACAAACACCTTAACAAATCCAGAAAAAGACAAGAGTTTCCACCATTAAATTATGAATATACCCTTGGCGAATCCCCAAACGTCCCCCAAAACACTTTCTTTCCCGGCGCAATTACAAGAAAGACGAGGTCACATTTGTCATTTAACAGGACCTGTAGATCCCACCTGACGAAAAGAAATTGAAAATAGTTAATACACAGGAGTAAAATAATACTGGCACAGAGTGGTAGACGATAGAAAAACTTCGTCTAGAGAGAGAACGGCGGAGAGAGAGAGAGAAAGAAAGATGAGTTCAAATCACAATTTCAGGTATTTTTTTTTATTGGAATTAAAATCACATGAATTCAGCTGAAAATTTGAGATTGAACAATATCCGTCTTCGAATTTGTTTCTCTTTTTTGTGATTCTATCTGATCTTTGTGTTGCTGTGTACTATCGTAGTCAAAATGACTGGATTTCTAACTTTCTCAGCTTCCTAAGTAAATTCTGAAAGTTTTAGCTTCTGTAGTGTGTTGTACATGTTGGTAAGTATACAGTGTGTATTTGGATTTGTGTGCGTACATTATATGGACGTATGTACAGACCTATGCGTATGGGTATGTTTGAACCACACGTTCTATAGGTTGATCTGGTGGAAGAATCTTCTCTGGAAGTGTAATTTGTTTAATTGTGTTTTATAAGCTGAGGGAATGATAATTTCAGGATATGTTTGGAAGTTACATTGAATTTGCAGAAAATTGATGATTTGTGTAGATCAATTTTCTTTCAATGCCTTGAGAATCATTAGTGAATAATATGCTTGTGAATTTGTTGGCTATCTGTTGAATCTGTTAATTAGTTGTCTCCAATGTTTGAGTTCTTGAAACTCAAGGATTAAAAACTCTACATGATAGAAATGTAAATTCTTACATTTCAGTCCCCATGGAGTTTCCCTTTCCCAAAATTGAATTGAATAATTGATACATATATGTGTGGAAGAAAATTTCTGAGCAAAAAAGAAAATGTTTGTAAAAGGTCCACACTGCAGGTTTTCTTGTATCAAAAATTGAAATCTGTTTCAATTGACTTTAAAATTTTCCCTGCAGAGGAGAATGGTTTGAATTATCAGTTTGCTTTATTTCTTTTTCATTCACTGACACTGATTAGATTTTCAGATATATTCTTCTGTGCATTTAATATAACAATTAAAACAGGAATCTTCTTTTATGCATGAATGCATGATAATGGAGGCTTACTTTGACATTTTACATGATCTAATCATACTGTATACATTTTTGTAGCTTCAGTCTCGTTGCACTCTACAAGGATTGTTATTCATTTTAATCGTCAGTCAAGGTACATTGTAAAATTCAGGTAAGAAGAACGAAATTGGTTTCAATTAAAAGTGAGACTTCTAGAACTTGATACATATTCATACTCATTCTACTTGGCATATGATGTGCTATGGTCAGGTATCTTGATAGATGGAAAGAAATGTAGGAAAAGGTATGATGGGCCAACAGAAAAACTATGAACAAGTTGGCTATAGTTCTGTGGATACAAGAAATGAGGGAATTGGATCTGCAAACCAAAGAACTTTTCAGGATCCTTCCAGTTCTATTAACACAAATATACGACCACCTGATTTTAATATGCCAGTTGGAGCTAGGCCTGTTCTAAACTTTTCTATTCAGACTGGTGAGGAGTTTGCTTTTGAGTTTATGCGGGACAGGGCTTTTGCAAAACAGCACTTTATTCCACATTCTACTGGTGAGGCTAGTAGTACCACCTCTTATATGGACCTAAAGGACATACTCGGAATATCTCATGCAGGTTCTGAAAGTGGATCTGATATTTCCATGATTGCCTCAGTGGACAAAAGTCGAGTCCAAGATCATGAGAGAAAGAGTACTCTAAATGAAGAGCATGCTTTCTCCCACACTGCACAATCTGTGTCTAGGACCACCTCAAGGAATAATGATGGACGTGGGGTTCACAGCCGTTCAATATCCAGACCTTCCAAAAAATTTAAGTTCCTCTGCAGTTTTGGTGGCAGAATTTTGCCTCGCCCGAGTGATGGAAAACTAAGATATGTTGGAGGAGATACGCGCATTATTCGTGTTATGAGAGATATCTCTTGGGAAGAATTTAAGGAGAAAATATCAACAATATACAGCCCAACTCACATCATAAAATATCAGCTTCCTGGTGAGGAACTTGATGCTTTGGTGTCAGTTTCATGTGATGAGGACTTACAAAATATGATGGAAGAATGTAATGTAATTGAGGATGGTGGATCACAGAAACTTCGTATGTTTCTCTTTTCCAGTAGTGACTTGGATGATTCTCATCTTGGTCTTGAGAATGTGGAAGGTGATACAGAATTTCAGTATTTTGTTGCTGTAAATGGCATGGATTTTGGCTCAAGGAGGAACTCAGTTGGTCTGGCAAGCACTTCAGGAAACAATCTAGATGAGTTACTGGGTTTAAGTATGGATAGAGAGAATGGTCGAGTTGTTGCTAACTTAGCAGCAGTTGATACTATGCATCCAGTGGGTGGTTCAGCAAATCAATCATCTCATAGAGTGGTCTCAAGTTCATTACATGAATTGGATTCTAATTCACAGGAATACCAGAATCAAGCTACACAATACAATGGGGTTGAATGGCAACAGTTATCTACTTCACAACCTATTGGCAACTTCTCAGTTATAGAGAGAAAAAGCACCGTTTTACCATCTGCTCCTCTCAGTTATGCCTATGGTCCTCGTACAACCAATTATGCACAGCTTGCAGAGGACAACTTTGTGCTAAATTCTAGCCATAGTCAGATGACTCTTGAAGGAGGAGGCTTAACTGCTGCTGAGTACCCTTTAGGAAACTCCCATGTGCTGGATCCGGAAGTATCAGCTAGTGAAGTCAAATTAAAGAGAGATGCTTCTATCCAAAAAAGGGTTAAACTTGGAAAATGTGAATCTTTAGAAAAGGAGCCTAAGGAGGAAAAGATGAAGAGAGAAAATTCAATGCAGAAAATGAATGAGCCTGAGATAACAAGACCTTTGGATTTTGAAAAAGCTGTTTCTTCTAAATATGACAACTCTACTCCCAATAACAGTTCCAGAGTTGAAGAGCAGATCTCTGGTGCTGCTGCAGTTATTGGAAATTCAGTTGTGCCATCTAAAGGTAGTGTAAAAAATCAGGACCAGATGCAGAGTTCAGTGTCCGCTGAATCTGATAAGGAGGAAAGAATAGATGCATTTAATGAAGATAGCAACTTAATTGCATCTAGTAAGGTCTCAAACTCTGGTCATGGCAACTCTGAGTCATACCCCTTTGACTTTAACTCTGAACCTTCTACAGCTCCTCCAAGGCTCTTCCGTTCAGAAAGAATACCCCGTGAGCAAGCTGGCCTAAATCGTTTGTCCAAATCTGATGATTCCTCTGCTTCACCATTTTTAATGGCCCACTCACAATCTGAAGGTTCACAGCACATGTCAGAATCAATTGATAAATTTCACGATAGGAACGAGGCTCCAGAGACAAAGCACTTAATTTCTTCAACTCTGTCTTCTAATCAACCTGCAGTTGAAGATAAAAAAGTTGAATTCCAGAAATGTGAAGAGGTTGCTGATAATGCCAAAGTAGTTGGTTCACAAATATCTAAAGATGGAGGTAAGACGAATATTCAGAACATTGAGCTTAAAGGCACCGTCTTACCTGACAGGGACACTTCCCAGCCAAGTCTCCCTATAAGAAGTGGTAACTTCCAGAATGAATCTGCATCTAAGCCAACTGAGAACATTATTGATGACAATAATGCAATGGGGGAAGTAAAGTCTCTGCCAGCTGGGGCTGCTTCCCAAGTGAAGCCTTCTGTTAATGAGCATGGAGACATTCTTATTGATATCAATGATCGCTTCCCCCGTGATTTCCTGTCTGACATATTTTCTAAAGCAATGGATGGATCAGCAGGGGTTGCTCCATTGCATGGTGATGGAGGTGGTTTGAGCTTAAATATGGAGAACCATGAGCCTAAGCACTGGTCATTTTTCAAGAAATTAGCTCATGAGGATTTTGTTAGAAGGGATGTCTCTCTTATGGACCAAGATCATCCTAGTTTCCCAACTACAAATGCACATGTTGATGAAGTATCAATGGATTATAGTTATCCAACCTCCAAGATTAGTGGAGTTGTAATGGATTCCCATATCAATATTCAAGCTGACATTCATCAGCAATCACCTCAGATCACTGAACCCTTGACCATGAATTTGCCTTCAGATTATAATCCATCTCAAGTCACTGGAATACAATCTATGCAGTCTGATGGTACAATCAACCGAAAAACACCTGACTCAGTTTATCAGGTATCGAATTATACTAGTCGCACTAAGATTTTCTGCAGTATATGTTTGTCAATTTTCTTATTTCAATATGCATTATAGCCCCCCCAACCTCCCTCTGCTACCCTGTGATTTTTTTCCTTAACATGTGAAGGATGAGGTACAAGATGCTCAGAATGCTGGTTTTCCCCCAGTCGACTTCCCACTGGGAGATTTTGATATACACTCCTTGCAGGTACTGTCTTTCAGTTAGTTAAATATTACCAATAAATGATTTTTGGCAATGGTGACTCTAGAAACATATACTGCTTCTATAAAAGGGAATGAAATGTTATGTTATATGTTCTTCACTCTATTGAATTTCATATCAAGGCTTTTGTTTTTGTCTGTCTCCCTCTCTGCATGCCCTTGTTACAGATAGGTCCAAAGTTTCTTCCTACATGCCCTTATTTTTCTTATTCAATGATTTCAATCTGCATTTCTTACTCAGTGATCTTCAATCTGCATTATTATAACCCTTATCCAAGTGCTTTGGTTTGACCTACAATTGTATACTCAATTGCTATACCCACTTCATTCTTACTTCTCATGTTCCTTTTGGCTGATTATGTAATAGTGGATAAAACATGATAACTTTTTTACTTTAATATATTTTAGATTTTAGATAGAGAAGATTTGATATAAGAGTTGAGGTGAAATTTAATGAGTTTTAATTGTTTCTTTCAGCTGGAATACCTATTCTTGCCAAATTATGTTTCTGTCTCGACTTAATCCTTTTAAAATGATTATTTTCTTATAAGGAGATACATTAAGAAACAACAAGGGGGTACTACCCAAAGTACAAATCCTTTAAATTATTGATTATTAATCTCATATTAAACTTAGTACTACTAATCCAATCCAAATTGTAAATTCATAAAGCATAACATCCTGTGCTTTTTTATTTGCACTTATGTTTCAAATTTTCATTATGGATCTTGAAGATAATAAGGGGGCAGTTCACACTAATTGGCTCTTAACAAGACCGAGCAGGGGTAACAATGGCTGCCACTAAAAGAAAAGATAATACCAATAAGTCTGGTGCATGCTTTGAATGCTGGCTACTTATGACACTAGAACTTTCCAAATTATTCGAAATTTTGGTGATATGAAAGATACAAATGGTTTGTGTAATAGGCTAACACTCCACAGTTCTTACTGGGGAACCCAGAGTCCCAGAGGGCAGTGTTTTTAACATTGAAAATTGGCGTGGGGGATGTTGATGGGTCAAACATAGTTGGGAGGCAAAACAGATTTTCTTGTTTATCGAAAGTGAGGTTGAGTAGAACTTTCCTTCCAATAATTTGAATCACCCTATGCATGGGTGAAAATTGAGTGGAGGTATAAATGTAAAATAATAATTTAAAGAGTTAATACCAAGAATGATCCTCCGAGTTTGGTGGTAACACCACTTTTGGTCCTAACCTTTGTCCTTGACCACCTGCCGTCCTTTGATTGTCAATTTTTAACCTTATTTAGTCTTCTGTTAGTTTTTCCCATCTAAGGCCGAGGGACAAAAGTGTCAATCTATCTCTCATCTCCTATTAGCACATGAAGACCCATCTCCCATTTCTGGACTGTGTTTGTTTCTTTGATGCTTTCTTCATTGGCATTTTTCTTCTTCTTCAACTGGTAGACATACAGAAAGACTAGCGTGAGAATGTCTAAAGTCTAAACTGGCCAAGTCTCCGACAACGGTTCCGGCCATTGCTGCCAGTTTTAGTGTGTGTTGTGGCTGATCCTAAGCTGGTTCGCTGGAGCTTGGAATGGGGGTAGAGCTGATGGTTTTAGGAATGTCTGCGATTGCTGGCAGAGAAGTGTTTGTGGAGACATTGGGTGGACTTGACAGAGTTAAAGGGATTGTGTAGAGTTTCTTGAGTGGCTTCCCACAAAGATCAACATTGCCGGCAAAGAACTCCGTTTTCTGATTGTTCAGAGCTATTGATTCTGGGATTTCTCTGGTGAGGTTGTTGAAAGAGAGATCAATGGTAGTATTCGCTGGGATTTTCTTGACAAACTCCGGAGAAAGCAAACCAGAAAGCCTGTTGGAAGAGAGATTCAAGTATCTGAGATTCTCCCCACCAAACTCTTCCACCAGCAATCCATTCAACAAGTTGGATGACAGATCCAACACTTCAACAAACTGAAATCCACCCAGAACAGCACCAGGAAAATAGTCTCTTCAAAGAAACCACACTAAGATTCTGCAAATAACTCGGCTTCTCCGTAATTTCTCCGGCCACGGCGTTGTCGGAGAGATTCAGAAGCTTCAAACTCTTCATCTCTCCAACAGCTTCAGGAAGCCCACCATAAATCACATTACTGGAAAGAGAAAGAACCTGAAGCTCTGAAGCATTGAAAAGTGACGAGGGTAGAGTTCCATTCAAGAAATTTGCAGAGAGATCATCATGTCTGAAATTGCATCTTCTTCTTTTCAACTGCTTATTGTGCTTTGTTATTTAGGTCTGGGAATGGGTCTCGTGTGCTAATAGGAGATGAAGATAGATTGACACTTTTGTCCCTCAAACTTACGGTGTCAAACGGGGAAAACTAATGGAAGACTAAATAAGCTTAAAATTGATAGTAGTTTCTAAATAACTATTTAGTAGTTTCTTAATATCTAAACTATGTAATGTAATTGTAATAAAATAAGACTTCCTAAATAATCATTGCCAGCATGTATCACCATCTTATCTTGCAAAGGAACATAAAATTTTGTACATTCCACCAACATGATGGGGAGCATTAATTTGAACTTCCATTTTCACCTCCCAACTAAACACATACCCTTATCTGATGGGATAGCAAATTGTAGATGCCAAGAATGCTTGACTTTTATTTGTTTCTTACCTTACTATATCTTGACCTTTTTGTCAGAAAGATGGAATTAAGGGTCAAAGTATCATCTTATTGTAGAATAGTCCTGTGCCAAGAGCCAAAGATCTTGCTAGTCAACCTTTTGTTTGTCTGCAGGAAACTAACCAAGATGAACGAAGCAATACTTTCCCAAATGGAGGCAATACCTTGATATTTAAGTCAAAAAAACTTTAATTTCATAACTCTATTCAATTATATACTTCAGGGGTAGGGTAGTTATGAAGTTGGTTTAGTACTTTGGTGTGTTCTGCCACATTAAACTCATGCAGTTAGAATAGGGTATTTTAAAGTGTACACAGACAGCATGATATTGCAAGCAGTTCAAGAATTCTCCTTTTTCAGTTTATAAATGTATCCTCTTGTGTCAAGGGTTTTAAGATCAGTAATAGATGCAACTCCTTTTGAAATTCTTCTAGGCATAATCTTGTTATCAGTTTAAGGTCTCAAAGAGATGATTATTTGTAGTGGTTTAAACTGCTGGTATCTTTTAATGGTTTTTTGTTTTCCTTGTGCTTGTGGGATTAATGTTGTCTTACCAGATTACATTTAAGGTATTATCACTGAGTAGCCTCCATTCCGATTAAAATTCTGGCTAGAAGCATGGTTAGGTGCTTTTCCATCAATATTCGATAACTATTTATAAGGAATATTATAGTGGGTAATTGACAATGAATATGATAAAAGGAAAGAGAAAATCTTATTATGAGTTTACTTATATGATTGATTGACGAATCCATACTTTGATTTGTAATTGTTTGCAACCTATACCTAAAAACTTGTTACAAGTAACAAATTTACTAATTTTTCCATTAAATATAATTATAGTATGGATTTAACATGTTCTCATTAAGGGTATATTATCATTTTTTATAAAAATACTTTTATACAGTGCAACCTGACATTTCAATTAATTAAAAAATAACTAATCATAAAAGAAAAATTCAAACACAGTTTAATTAATATGGTCAGAAAACCAACTTCATTTATGCTTAACAGAGTTGAGAATTGGGATTAACTTAGGCTTACTTTGCTTAAGTTTATAAAATTTCTTATCCTTTATACATTATGAAGCCATACACATCTTTAATAAATTAGATGCTTAGACAGGGAATGTTGTTCAATTCAGCATGCGATATTTAGAGGAAGAAAAAGAAGAATTAATCTACAAATCGTAGAGATAATTTGTTTTTGATAATGCCAGTTAGTTCTTGTTGTCGTGATTTATTGTGTTATTTTTTTTTAAATGTTTGTTAATTGTGAATAAGTTCAAATTGTGAGCTGCATTATGGAAATGCTTTTTTTAAAGACACAGTAAATATATTTGACAGAAAAGTTAATAAAATTTGCATGTCGTTATAATTTGAAGTATATGTTGCTCAGTGTAAAAGTAGTTGAAATGAGTTGGTTAAAATTTCCTCAATGTTTTAAAACATAATCTTCATTTTAATACCATAGCATATAATATTCAGAATCCTTGCTACTAGATATGGATCATATCTGATTGATGGTATAATATCCTAAAATCTTTTTGACATTTTCTTCCCATTCTTAGATAACCTTTTCTAGTTTGCGGTTTGCCATTACAGATCATAAAAAATGAAGACCTTGAAGAGTTGAAGGAATTGGGTTCTGGAACATTTGGCACTGTCTATCATGGCAAATGGAGAGGAACAGATGTTGCCATCAAGAGAATAAAGAAAAGTTGCTTCACTGGCCGATCATCAGAGCAGGAGAGGCTGGTGAGTTTTCTATAGTGATTTTAAGGTTCTGTTGTCAGTGCATGTAATTTATGCTGCCTTATACATTATCTTTGGACATAAAAAGCTTAAGCTTAGAATATTATATTGTGCTTTTCTTTGTGCTTGCTATTTCATAATACACACTTGTAAATTATTTAGACTGTTGAGTTTTGGCGTGAGGCTGATATTCTCTCAAAGCTTCACCATCCAAATGTGGTGGCATTTTATGGTGTGGTGCAAGATGGGCCTGGAGCAACTCTTGCTACCGTCACAGAGTTCATGGTGAATGGGTCCCTCAGACATGTTTTGCTTTGCAAGGACAGGTACCAGTTATTTTAAATAGCATAGTAATAGTAAGCCTGACCTCTGTATCCAACACATTTCTCATTTTCCCTTCCTCTGTAAATTTTCAGACACCTTGATCGTCGCAAGAAACTCATCATCGCAACAGATGCAGCATTTGGAATGGAATATTTGCATTCAAAAAATATTGTGCATTTTGACTTGAAATGTGACAACTTGCTCGTCAACTTGAAGGATCCTTCTCGGCCAATTTGCAAGGTGACTGACTTAAGATGAGATCCATATGCCATATAGTGATAAATGTGCTACTTTAATCTGTAGTTAGGTCAAGTTTCATTGAACTCAATATAGTGCTTTATTAAATAGGCTAGTATATCAGAGTTTATGGAATATTTTGTTTATAAAGACCCATCTCACCTATGAGGAAAAGCAATTATGCCATATTATGTTTTGTTTTGAGAAAAGGACAAAAATGATTGATGATGGATTTGACGTACATATATGACAATTGCGCTGTTCTTCATGCAGGTCGGTGATTTTGGGCTGTCCAAAATCAAGAGAAATACCTTGGTCACTGGTGGTGTAAGGGGAACTCTTCCATGGATGGCTCCTGAGCTATTAAATGGGAGCAGCAACAAAGTTTCTGAGAAGGTCAGGTCTCAAGTATTAATTTGTTTTAAAATATTATAGTATATTAGTATTTTTTTTTCTGGTCTGAAAAGTATGTAAATTATTCAAGAGCACACAACTGATTTTGAAATGGAGGATCTGCAATAGTCTGAATATATTAAATTAACAGCTTGAGTAGTTTTTAAGCAGGAGGATCTCTCAGTGTGATTTAAACTGGTTTGAGAAGGAGCACATTTGTCTTCTGACCATTTCCGTCAACAGCTTTCCCTAGTTCTTGTTCTGTCTTTTTACCTAACCACATTTCCTTCATCTTTTCCCTGAAGACAATTACAAAATTCATGTAACAAAACATTTGTTGCATAACATGACAGTTTAAAGTCTTTTTGCAGGTTGATGTCTTCTCCTTTGGGATTGTACTTTGGGAAATTCTTACCGGTGAAGAACCTTATGCCAATATGCATTATGGAGCGATCATAGGTTCTTTTCTCCCCATTCTATCATGCTTGCTTCCCAGTACTCAATTTTAATGTGTTTTTTGTTGTGCCTTTGCCATTTACACCTGACAGTCATATTGTTTTATGTTGAATATTAAGAAACCTTTGTCTCATTCCTAGTAGAAGTTGTCTTAGTTTCCTATTCTTATTAGTAGTTTCCTATTCCTATTAGGACTAGTTTAGTATATATAGAGGTAGAAGTATAGAGTAGATAAACAGAGAGATACAATCTATTGAAATCTTTCATTATAATATACTCTTTCTACTCTCTCTTCTTTGGTTTCTCACATATTTTGCTTCCACCTAACTGGCGGGTGGTTGTTATTCTCCACCTGCCAGGCCTTTCAATCTCTCAATTTCAACATGGTATCAGAGCCTACTTTCTTAGGCTATTTTTCTTCCAATATTTCCGGCAGCACCTATTTTTCAGTGTAAACAGAAACCCGCGACTGTTTTCTCTTGTTCCGACGTGTCTGGTGGTTGTTCTCCAAATCTTTCACCACAGGACCCCTTGGAACCTCGTCGTGAGCCTTCGCCTGAAAACCCATCAGCATCCACCGCCACACGCGTTGTCACGCGCCACCATCGCTGACGGACTAGCTTTCGTTTTTCCGGTAAGATCTCCTCTTCTCCGGTGATTTTCTGGTCTCACCTCCTACATCGTTGGATTCCTCTCCTCTTTGCGACCTTAACTGGAAAATTTGGTCTCCTTCCTCCACCGCCGCCGGCGTCACGCACCACCGCCGTCTTCACGCGTCGGCGACCTTCCTCACGTGCCGGTGCGTGAGGCTACCTCTGACGATATTTCCCGGCGAGATTTTCCAGCTCTCTCCGTCAGTTCTCCGCGTCTCCATCGATGTTCCTGTGATATATTTTTCCCGTGAAATGTTTCCCAAATTGGTGTTTTGCCCATCTTTGGACCTTTTTGGTGAAATTTGAAGGCTTTATTTTGGGTTTGTTGCCAAACTTCTCCCCAAGGTGTTTGTGTTTTGGTATAACCGTGTTTGTTTCTTTATCTCCGGTATGCCTTATCCCATGGGTGTCCAGTTTCAACACTACTATAAAGGCCTTTGATTATTTCCCATGTTTCAAGTAAGGGGGATGTGACTATCTACAATCAAACGGTGTTCTATTTTACTTATTTTACTTTGTTTTCATCTCGTTGCTTTGGGTTTATCTTCATTACTATGGGCTCTACTGCATCCTTTGCTATTCTTTGCTCCCTTTTCGACTCTACCGCTCTCGATGAAGGCTTTGTTGACATGTCCTAGAGTGTTTATGTTGTGTTATCTGGAGGTTGTTCATGTTCAACTCTATCCTTGGTGCGTTCATCTTCATTCCTGAGGATCGTGTTCAACTTCATCCTCGGTGTGTTCATTCCCAAGATCGTGTTCAGCTTTGTTCTTGGTGTGTTCATCTTTATTCCCAAGGATTGTGTTCGGCTCCATTCTTGGTGCATTCGTCTTCATTCCCAAGGAAGGGTCAGGCATAGCGCAATCTCCTTTGAAGTCATCCATCCTAGAGTGCTTATGTTGTGATGGTGTTCGTGTTAATCTTCACCCTTGGTGCCTTCATTCCCAAGGCTGTTCGTGACAAGCTTCGCCCCTGGCGCCTTCATTCCCAAGGGTTGTGTATAGCATTGTCCCTCCGAAGCCATCCAACACTGTTATCCTCTAGTTGCATTTAATTTTCATTTGTAATTTTGAGTGAGGTAGAGTGCTTGTTTTAATCCAAGCTTGGAACTTCCAGATGTTCCAGCTTGAGGGGGAGTGTTGAATATTAGGAAACCTATGTCTCATTCCTAGTAGAAGCTGTCTTAGTTTCCTATTCTTATTGGTAGTTTCCTATTCCTATTATGACTAGTTTAGTATATATAGAGGTCCATAGAAGTATAGGGTAGATACACAGAGAGATACAATCTATTGTAATCTTTCATTATAATATACTCTTTCTATTCTCTCTTCTTTGGTTTCTCACATATTTTGCTTCCGCCTAACTGGTGGGCGGTTGTTATTTTCCACCCGCCAGGCCTTTCAATCTCTCAATTTCAACACATTCCTGTGACTTAGATTAGCTTATATCCTTCTGAGATCAAATATCTATCTTGTTAAGAAAAAAGGGAAGAGTGTCGGAAATCTGAAGGGCTGGGGATTGTAGTTTTAGATGAAAGAATACAATGAAGAAAGGATTCGAAGAGGCTGGTAGTAAATAAATATAAAAGTGATTTGTGGAAATTCGATGAGCTTGAGACAACCATGCATGATATGCCTGGTTGTCCTGACAGTAAACAATACAACCCAAGTAGTATACATGGTTGTATCCGATACAACAAGGCACTGGTGCCAATCATAGAAATTCCCTATATTGTATTCTGACATTGGAAAGCAATGATCTGTGCAATCAATATCTGATAGTCTGAACCATCTTTGCTTAGTTGGCTGGAGAACACATTATTGACAATGGAATACTTTATATGCACAAGAAGCATACTGAAGTAGTGAAGTTTCTGTTGATACACTATTGTATTTCCTTATATGCATTACTCTTGCTGCCTTCTGTTTTTATTTGTGAAAGAATCAATCCTCTTTTATTACTTGGTCTCCTTCTGATGCCATTTTATTATGGTAAGGACTTTATAGTAAGTGTATAGAAGTGGAATGACGATAAATAGATTGTGATGGAAAATATCCTGTCTTTTTAACTTGTATGCAGGTGGCATTGTGAACAACACCTTACGGCCAAACATACCAAACTTCTGTGACCCTGAATGGAGAATGCTGATGGAACAGTGCTGGGCTCCGGACCCCGCAGCTCGGCCATCCTTCACCGAAATTGCTAGACGCTTACGTGCCATGTCAGTAGCCTGTCCTAGTAGACCACAAGGTCACCTGGCTCAGACCCAGCAATCCAAGTAATGGCCTTTTATCCGCCAACTGATTCTGATAAACATACAGTCCAGCCAATATACTCAGAAATTTATTGTCCATCACATCAGTAGAAAGGATGCTTACGTATCGAAGTGTGAATTGAAATAATGTACTGTTGACAATTGATAGTCGAAAGGTATATATTGTTAGTGTCTAAACGTTGAAGCGTGAGAAGAATTGCCTGCTTATATCCATCCATCTATCTATATTGTAAAGCATCATTGTTGTTTTCTTTTTATTTTTTATTGTACGACTAAACACAAATCCAGGTTTGCTTGTAATAATGTTTTAATGTTTAGCTTGTGATCATTTTCATGTTACCACACATTTTTGTATTATAAATTTATACACTTGAAGTCGCTGAAGATATATAACCTTTGGCCGTACTATGTAAAACATATAATATTCATGAATCATGATACAGGCATAACATAATTTAATTGTTTCTGTAAGTAGAGATTTCGTGTTCGGTCTTAAGAATGCAGTTACTCACTTTTGAGATTTTACTCCGTAAGAAAATAATTATTTTTCCTTCAAATAACAATAACAATAAAAATAAAAATAAAAATAAAAATAAAAATCTGTAAGTGAAAGTAAGCAAAAATTTCTCCTTTAATGTTGAAGGCAAATTTTACTATGGACCGCGGTCCACAATGTATTATAGTACAGGCATCAAAACGGTGCCGTTTATTTTAATGAAAAGAAACGACACTCGTTTCGCGCCTGATAGATACCCCAAATCGGGCACTTGGCCTAAGGAGTATGAGAGGGCAGTCGGGCTCGAGTACAGCAAAACATTTGGCGATTCACGAGAAAGGGCTTCTTTCGTGGTTCCTGCAACATGAAGCACCCGGGAGACCAGGCCGGCGGACGAGCGAGTATCCGTCAGGAACTGGCTTGCTTAGGTAGGAGACCAAGCCCGATAGTTGGTGCTCTCCGACTGGGTTCCTTCAGAGGACTCGGATGGGCAACCATGCTCAGTAGTCGGTGTGTCCCCGACAGGGTTTCCTCAGAGGACCCAGATGGTCGACCATGCTCAGCGGTCGGAGCGTCTTTACCTAAGTGCCTCAGCCTCCCTAGCCAGGCTACCCCGTTAGGCAGTCAGTGCATCCCCGACCGAGTGCGCGCCTAGAGGCGGTTAACAGCGGATTCAGCGGAGATTCCTTTCCTTATCCAGCAAGTAGCTTCTTTCTTCATTTTAAGTAGTTATCCCGTTAATTATGGTAGACTCTATAGCTGATTCAGCTCTATCTTTTGCCCTACTTTCTTGGTAGAGAGTTCAACTCTTTGTATAAATACTCCCGCAGCGTCACCGTGGGAAAGGGTGGACTCTTTTACTAACAAAGAGCTCGTTATTCTCTCTCGTTTATTCAAAGCCCAATTTTTTACAGTAGTGTTGGCCCACCGAATTACGGCTACCCTTAGGCCGTGAAACCAACATTGGCACCGTTCGTGGCGATACGCCGAGAGCTCGAAAGGCTTGGGCCAGACAACTATACGTAGGGTCAATAGCCTTCCAAGAGTCGGATCGAAAGAAAGCTTCCAGAGAGCCGATTGTCTTCACGGACGATGACCTGCCCAGGGGCCCGACTCCCAATCGCGATGCCTTAGTCGTCACTATGGATATTTAGGGGACAATCATTCGTCGAGTACTGGTAGACACCGAGAGAAGTGTTAACGTGTTGTGTTTAGAAGTGTACAAAAAGTTGGGATTGCCCTTGGAGCGCTTGTGGCCGAGTAAGACCCCACTGGTCGGGTTCACTAGTGATGCAATTGACACCGAAGGTTGCACTTCATTAACAGTGGAAATGGGCACTTGGCCCCACGTAAGAAAGCTGGAGATGGAATTTGTGGTGGTCGTCTAGGAATGCGCGCACAATGTCATCCTCGACCGACCAGGTTTGGAGGACTTAGGCGCCTTAATCTCCATCGAGCATTTATGTATGAAATTCCGCACACCGACTAACGTCAGAGTAGTGCGGTGTGACCAGAAGATGGCCCGAAGTTGTTACTTACAGACTTGTCGGAAGGTGGGACAAGGTTCTCACCGGGTTAACACAATTGCCCAATAGCTGGCCGAGCGGCCTATAGAACGCCCGGCCCCAGCTGTCGAGCTAGAGGAGGTCATGTTGGAACCAAACCGCCTAGAGAGAAAGGTTCGGATTGGGGTAGGATTGCCCGATCTTGTGAAGCATGCAATCTCAATGTGCTGAGAAGGTAAAAGGAGATATTCGCATCGGGGCCCGAGGACATGCCAGGGGTTGACCGGTCGATCATAACTCATAAATTGGCAATCGATACCGGCCTTAATCCAGTAGCGCAGAAGAGGAGGTACTTATCCAACGATCGGAGAGATTTTGTAAAGCAAGAAGTGGACACTCTACTCGCGATCGGACATGTCCGAGAAATGAAATATCCCGGCTGGCTGGCCAACATGGTGTTGGCGCCTAAGCCGCCGGCGTGGAGGATGTGCGTGGATTACACCGACCTCAACAAGACGTGCCCTAAGGATCCTTTTCCTTTACTGCGGATTGATCAGCTGGTCGATGACACAGCCGGGTGCGCCCTTCTTCAATCTGAAAGAAAAGTTAATTAGTTGTTCAAAATACATTAATAATTATAAAGTTTAGAGAAAAGGGTCAAATAGACCCCTAAACATTGTCTTAAAGGTCAATTAGCTCCCTAAACTTTAAAAAAGGTCAATTAAACACTCAAACATGTTAAATTTGGTCAATGAAGCCCAAAAACCGGTAAATGACAGGTCATTTTAATTCCAGCGACGAAATCCGGCCACCGGTGATAGATTCTGGCGACCGGCGAGATTTTCCGGTCGTCTTCCACTGGAGAAGACGACTGGACGGCCGCCTTCTCCATTCTCCAGTGGAGAAGACGACCAGAAGAAGATGACCAGATTGGTCATCTTCTCCAATGGAGAAGACGACCACCAGACGGTCGTCTTCTCCAATGGAGAAGGCGGCAGACGCTTCTCCATTGGAGAAGGCGGCCGTTCGGTCGTCTTCTCCGGTGGAAGACGACCGGACGGCCGGAAAAATTCGTCGGTCGCCGGAATCTGTCACAGGTGGCCGGATTTCGTCGCCGGAATTAAAATGACCTGTAATAACAGGTCATTTATCGGTTTTTGGGCTTCATTGACCAAATTTAACATGTTTGAGTGTTTAATTGACATTTTTTAAAGTTTAGGGGGCTAATTAACCTTTAGGGTAAAGTTTAGGGGCTTATTTGACCCTTTTCTCTAAAGTTTAATATATATACCTCAATGTCTTCAAATTCTTCTGGACTAATCCCACAATCATCATAAATAGTACCATATGCATCTTTCCAAGTAGGCACTACAATAAACAATTAATATGTAATATACAATATCATAAAACAATATATAAATGTTATTCAATAAAATTTGATTACCTTGGCCTTTGGCATCTTTTAACAACCAACTTTGAGAACACATCAACCCCTCCAACATTTTCGGGTGAGGCCTACTTCGATGAGGAGTCACAACCCTACCACCAATGCTAAAAACAGATTCTGAATTGAATCCACAGTAGAAATGGGTACAACTAAGATATCCCTTGCAATCATTCGCAATGTTGGATAACGAAGTCCAACACCTTGCCACCAAACTAAAACATTAAACGTAGGATCATTGCTTGGCATATTTTCTTCTTTGAAATATTTTTCCAACTCTGATTTCAAACCCCTTGCAGAATTACCTTTACCCTTATATGCATCAAATCTAGAATTAAAAAAAAAAAAAAAAAAAAACCTCATCTTCAGAATCACCCCCTATTGAGATTTCAGAATCAGATGGAACATTGTTGGTAGGATGAGGGACCTTTTGATACACTTTCACCAAATCCTTAGAATATTTTATAACCCTATCCATTTCTTGTTGAGCACTGTCTTCATAGAATTTAGGGAAAAAAAATCCATCACATCCAACTTATATCTCGAGTCAAGAATATTAGCCACAACCATTAGTCCATGAACTACTTCCCAATATTTATCAAATTTCCGCAACATACTTTTAGTCATATTTGCAACAATCACATTAGGACAGTCAGTCCAACTACGCAAAGAAAACTTGATTTCACACATCAATGGAAAGAAAATATTAGAAGTTGGATACTTTGTCTTTGAAAATTTATTTGACGAATTGTAAAACAACTTCAACCTTTCACAAATTTTCTTAGCAACTCCCAATCATCATCATGAGGTGCACAAGTAAAGAGAACATCTCGTTCTTTCAAACGTATAAAAACATCATTGTAATCTAAAGCAACACTAAGCGTCAAATATGTGGAATTCCATCGAGTTTTACAATCAAGCAGCAATTGTTTAGTACTATCTATGCCCAAGTGCCTCACATTTTCCCTAAAAGTTTCATTCCTTTTTGGTGTGGTCAACCAATAAGCAACACTATCTCTCACCTTTTCTATTTCGTTACCTATAACTTTTAATCCATCTTGAACAATTATATTCAAAATATGGGCACAACAACACATGTGAAATAAACTCCCACGTAACAAGAGATGAGAAGAACCTAGCTTAGTTATAAGGATGTTAACAAGTGCATAATTTGTAAAACAATTATCACCGGGAATGTAGACAATTTCCTTTCAATATTCCAATCATAAACAGATTTCAACAATTCCTTAGAAAGAACTAAAGTTGTGTGTGGACAATGCACATAAATAAACCTAAAAATGTAAACGAATAAAAGATTACACAAGTAATAATATAACAAATAAAGTATCCTAATTAAAAAGTGAAAATAACTATAGACATTAGATTAGAAAACTAGAAATATACATCATAAACATACTTCGTAGTTTCCAATCATTATCAATGAAATGTGTCATGATTTCCATGTAACCTTTATTTTGATTTGAAGATGTCCACATATCTGTAGTTAAGGTAATCCAACTTGTATTTGTGTTGAAAAGTATCATAATCTTGGATATTTTAACCTCATAAATCTTCAAAATGTCAACCTTAACTGTATTTCAAGAAGGAATGTCGAACAGTGGTTGAATGCTAGTTGTATACCTTCTAAATCCTTCATGATAAACAATTGCAAGAGGATATTCATGCATAATGATCATGCAAGCAAGCTCTATCCATGTAACCTCAAGATTAAACTTGAAAGTAGATAAACTCATTTTTCCATCCGCCTTCCACTGTTGTTGTAACAACGTTTGTTGTTTCAAATTTTGGATGAGTTTCATCTTACAAGATCTTTGATAATCATGAAGATGCTTTGTTCCATTTCTACTTTGCCCCCCAAGTAATTTTTTGCAATAATTGCACTCGACTTTATCCACACCATTAACTACCTTTTTGGTAAAATGCTCCCATACCACATATTTTAATCTTTTTGAACCAGCACTTTGTTCACTCGGAGCACTCGGTGCTCCCTCATTGTCATTGGTGTTAATAGTTAAATCAATAGGAGAGTCCAGGGGTGTCTCATCCGGTATTGTTGAATTATTAGGTAATGCTGATTGAGTTTCATTCGGTGTATCCCCCCCCCCCCCCCCCTCCCATCTCAACAAATACATTACACTCCTTTAAATAATTACAATATATACGAGAATATTAGTTAGATACTTGAATATTTGACTTCATTACATGCTTTAATAGATTCACAGAATCACAGTTAATTCATTACATATTTGACATTGTACATGCTTTATGCTATGAAAAATTCAAAACTCAATAATTCAATATTCAACAAAGTACAATAATAAGTACATAGTGATGTCTATTAGCGTAAATTCACAATTCATGGATTACATGCTTTCAACACATGAACACAGTACACTGTACAAGATCATCACTCAATATTCAATGAAATTGGCTTATTTCAATTTTCAAATATATAGTATATACACAGACAACATAGTACAATAGTACACAGTATATAACAATATGCTTTATGCTTATTTAAAATTTTAATTTTTAAATATAACTTACCTCTAAAGGCTGAGGCTGTGTTGGAGGCTGGAGACTGCCACTAGCACGCTTCATAGGACTGGCGATCGACGGAGACCAGCTACAACCGATGAAGACCAACTGCATTACTACTAATGTGGATTCTCCCAGCTTGATATTGGATTCAAGGCCTAGAACTCCACAACACAAGTCACGACCCGTTTTCCAGATTTATGTCTAACTGATTTCTTGATGTGTAGGGGTTGCTTTTGTGGATTTTGGTTGATGTGGAGTATGGTTGATGGTTGGAGGACGTGTATGGATGAATAGGGAAGTCGCCACACTGGGTTGAAGGGTGATAAGGCCAATTGGGACGCCACAAGGAGGGTAATATCCTTGATAAGTCAGAAATTCCTCCTAGAATGCTAGAAAGGAAATGAAAGTGTAAAGCACATATCCAAATGAATTCAACTTCAAAAATCTATTCAAAAATGAGTTCTTTAGCCCTTAAAATAGGCTATACACGTTCAAAGAATATGACTTTACTCCTAGGCTTGTAACAGAAATATAATTAATTTTAATTTAGAAGTTACTACTATTGAATTTTTGAAGTAAATGACACTTAATTCTCGCATGTGACTTGAGTTTAGTTTCTTTTGTCTTCTCCCAAGCTTAAGCCACGAAATTGGACCACTCTAAAGTATTTATCCACTTATTTTAAGGCCAACTTATTGTTTCAATTCATCACAGCAAGCTTGTCCCACTCCTTCAACAAATTGGTCTTCAAGCCAAGCTTATTTATCAATTCAGTGCTAGCAACATTAGCACAACTTCCACAATCAATGATCACCTTGAAA